AATAAGAGAGTCGAATTAGTGAAGGTTCAGTGGCAGCACATGAAGGGTTCGGAGTGGACGTAGGAGTCCGAGGAGGAGATGAGGGAGCACTACCCGGAGTTGTTTCCAGATTCAGCAGTAGCAGACTTCGAGGATGAAGTCTGATACAAGTAGGGGTGAATTGTAACATCCGTCTCTCGATGTATTAAAAGATTATGCAAATTAAATTGGTTTTGGTCTAATGTTGGGCAATGCCCCCTTTTTGGAATGGACCTTTGAAGATTGGGCCAAGGAGTGGGCTGCCCATAAACCGTACGCGGGGCGTAACCCGACGTACACGACGCGTAGTAATCACATTGGATGCGCGAGACTCAGGGGCGTACGCGCAGCGTACCATGAGGTACGCCCAGCGTACGCGGACAATTGCCAAACCCTAATTTTCAGGGTTTAAGACATATATAAACCCCATTATAGCCTCCCATTTGGCCTCCTTACCTATCCCTCACTCTCAGAAAACCCTAGTTCGTCCCTTACTCCATTGCTTTGTGTGCTTGACCTCTTGAGTTTATTTTGGTGAAGAAGGGCTTGGAAGAAGTGAAGCAAGGTTGAAGGAAGAAGCACTTGAGTATCTTGAGCTCAAGGGTCTGGAACAAGCTCACCTTTTGGCACTCAAAGGAGGTATAAAGCTCCTATCTTTCCTTATTGAATCATTGTGACAACCCGAAATTCTAACGTGTACATTCTTCATTTTCATCAAAGTTAGCCTCGTTTCGCTATTTTGTAATGAAGTTTTGGGTCTATATGAGTGCTTGAGACTTAGTTTGACCTTGATATGAGCCTAAGGAAGGGTGAGAATGTGTGTAGCATCACTAAAACGGGCCAAACACACCCAGCAAGGTGTGTGCGGCCGCACACCCGAGTGTGCGGCCAGCCAGCCGCACACAGCCGACCGCACACCCACCTTCCAGCCGCACACTCCCGCTTATATATATAAGGAGACCCCCTTCACTCATTCCTTTCCTTTGGCTGCACTCTACTTTCTCTCACTACTTTCTCTCTCTAAAAACTCCATCCAAGAACACTCTAAAGGCCTAAAAAACGTGAACTACTTCATCATTCAGCTCGTTATATTGGTAAGACACCTGAATCTAAGCCTAAAACTCATAGTGTTCTTCGTGTTCTTCATCCTTTGAAGGTGTACGGCCGCACACCTTCATAAGGTAGCCACACACACCCTAAAACTCTCCAAAGTGAAGAGTTTGGCCCCCCATTTGCTAGTTGGACTTGGTTTTAGCACTAGAACACCTCAAAACACCTCAAAATTGACATTTCGGGGCAAATGAGGAGTGTACGGCCGCACACTCCCGTGTACGGCCGTACACACCCTCTGTACGGCCGCACACTCTTGTGTGCAACCGCACACACAGCTTGGCCGCACACACATACTGATGGCCGCACACTTCCTTTATTCGATCAATTATGGCTCCGACACTTAGTTCCAAGCATTTCCAAGTCCCTAGGGTGGTTTCCCATCGTATTTTATCATGAAATGCCTTAATCTAATACGTATAATCATTATTATATGTTAATAGGATCCACTTGTGTACAAAACATCAATTGACACTCGGTGCTCGAAACCAATCGTACATCCGAATCCTACGATAAACTGTGAGTTCATACCCCTACGCTTTTATAAGTTTTTATAACGTTTTCAAGGGGGGAATACAAGCCAAACATAAAGGTTTTCGTAACTTAAAAACTGATGCAATTACAATGGTTTTATGTTAAAACATTTAGATATTTAGTCCCTTTTGTAATATGCGGAGCATAAGGGACGTTTTCTAAACATAATTGCATAGTTTTCCGAATGGTACATGAACATAACTTATCGATCAAACTATAATAGGTATAGTTTAGAGAAATTCATTTCCGGTTTTCAGAATCAAACTCCATGCAAGTCAAATATATAAGCTATGACTGATTTAGTTTATCCATACGAATAACGAGAGTATCTTACTTGATAATTATTTTGTATAATTATTATACTCCACATTGTTTATCAACGATTTCGAATTCGAGAACAAGTGAAATACACGTAAACTAGTAATACCTGATTGTGAGATTAATCTTCGTTTTGCCCTTCGGGGTACCAATAAATCCTTTCCGGAAGTATAACCAGAGTCTCCTGGAGGGAGAGCGTGAAATTTGTGAATAGATCTATTCGGAACTGACAATCCCACACCTGCACTGCTAGCTACAGTGGGGCGGGCACGTCCGGGGTGACAAATTTTGTAATCGTACGACGTCTGAAGAAACGTCAAGAAGGTCTCGGGTCATATTAGCATGGTTATCCGACTCACAATATGTAAAACTAATCTTTGTTTACGGGACTATTTCTTCAATGGTTTTATTTTATAAAACTACCTATCTACTTACTGGAGGGTATTCCAGTGATCTAACTCATGGTTTTATTTGAATAATAAAACTACTTACTGTTGGTAACTAGGGTTTTTAAACCAAACGAATCTTACTTACTGGTGGTAACCAGGGTTATCAAATGAAATATACTTTTCATTCAGAACTCAACTAACATGGTAGAAAATATCGGATTTTCTTGGGAAGCATGCATACATATTTCAGAACACAATAACGAATGTTTTCGATACGAAACGATATTTACTTATAGTAAAAAGGAATAAATTTTACAAATTCAGTGACTAGTTTCCAATACAAAAATATGCTTATGAACTCACCAGCTTTATGCTGACCCGTTTTCAAAATCGCTTGTATTCTCAGGACATCGATAGACAGGTACCTTCGATCACTTTTGGAGAAGACGAAGCATCTTGAAGTCTAGTCTTTATCTTTATTTCTTTTGAATATGATGATATGTACAAACTATGTTTTCAAACATATGTAAATATTCCTAATGCAATGTAATGGTGGTGTTTACTTTGATTACTATGATACGATTGTTGTGATACTACACATGACGTCCTCTGCCCCGGAACGTTTCTGCCTTCGGTTCCGGGGTGTGACAATCATAGATCTAGGGTTTTGAAGATTTGGACCTTTTTAGATCCAAAGATTTGATCTTGAGCATGAAACTCTGTTTTTGAACTTAGGGTTACCACCCTCGAAGCTCAGTGTGTTCCTTTAGCTGTAAAGTTGCAAGATTTGAGGCTTTTATGAAGCCATGCAAGAGATCTAGCCATTTCCATGATGGTTCTTTGTCACTTTTTAGTGTTGGACTCATTTGGTGGCTTGCAAGCCACCAAGTGATCGACTTTATGGGCTAGGACGAAGTATTGGACTCAGATCTGTAGTTTGGACGTAGTGTCTTAAGGGATTAAGCAGTTTTGAAGAAAAGAGCTTAACCGGAGAGTACGCTGGGCGTACACGTCAGTACGCGCAACGTACAAGCCCTTTAAGCTGTACACGCAACGTACAGAGAGGTACGCTCAGCGTACACTCAGTCAATGGATTTGTTGTTATTGGGCTCGGTTTGGGCCAAGTATTGGACATAGTAGCTATGGGCCGTGTTGGGCCTGCAGAAGTCAGTTAAGGGCTTAAGGTTTAGTAGGGTTGGAAAGGAAAGCCCAATTTGAAGTGTTGGGCCCAATTTAGAAAATTGGGCCATTTGGAGATTAATGGGCCTTAGTGAGTTTAGAAGGACTAGAAAGGATTGGGCCTGGGTCATGGCCCAAATTGGACCAGAAGGGTAAAATAGTCATTTTACCCATAGAAGAATCCTCATTTCTGACTAAGTGTTTATTTGGTCATGATAGCCGGAGAGCAGCCGGAACAGCAGTCAGGGATTTCTCACTCGGGTTTTCAGCAGTCAGTCATACGAGGTGAGTTTCCTTCCAGTAGTAACGGGTCTACGACCACAATGTCGGCCCGTTTAGATGTTAGTAGTTCCGGACTTCGGTCCGATGTTGGGGTTAGCCCGATGTAGTTTATATCTTTCCGGACTTTGGTCCGATGCCGGGGCGGTCCCGAGAAGTAGTTAAGTATGCTTGATATCTTTGTGATTCATGCATGTATATGTGTTATGTGTTATGTGTCCCGGACTCCGGTCCGATGTCGGGCAAGCCCGATGCAGAATATGCGATTATGTTATGTGTTATGTGTTAAATGTTCCGGGGTAAGCCCGATGCCGCGGCAAGCCTGATGTATGTTAGTCATTATGCCATGTATTATGTATTTTGGGGCAAGCCCGATGTATGCTAGTTTATGTGTTATATGTTATTTGTTCCGGGCTTCGGTCCGATGCCGGGGCAAGCCCGATGCAGATTATGTGATTATGTATGTATGTGCCGGGGTGAGCCCGATGCCCGATGCGGTCGGATGTCGGGGTGATCCCGATGCCGGGTAAGCCGATGTCGGGATTCGTCCCGATGCAGTTGGGAGTAGTCCCAGAGTTATGTTATTTTTTATATGCTCTTGTATGGTATGTGGTAGTTTGGGGGATCTCACTAAGCTTCGTGCTTACAGTTTTCAATTTTGGTTTCAGGTACTTCAGCTAGCAAAGGGAAGGGCTCGGGATGATCGCATGGCACACACCACAGATTTTAGCCTGGGATTTATTGAGACTCTGAAATATTTTCTCAGTTGTTTTTGATATAGTATTTGATATGAGATTTTGAGATACATGACACTTGGTTTTCTTATTGATTATGGATGATTATAGTTTCTTATAATATTTTCAAAACGAAATTTTTTGGGCCATATTTTTGGGATGTTTCATATTGTATTTCAAGTTACATTGTAATTTCCTTTAAAAGTTGTTCAAACCCATTGTAAATTTGTAATGCTTTTTAATACTATGGTTGGTGTTATCTTTATCTTTTTCTATGTAACCCTTTGTACTGTCGCGTCCCGTGTTTCCGCTTTAGCGGGGTGTGACAGACGACCTCGCAGAGTCGTCATCATTTTGAACAGTATCTTCTAAAATATCATCAATGATAGTATTTTACTCCATATCCTCATCAATAAAAAATTGCCTTCTTAAGCTTCCTTTATGGCTTAGACTTCGTAGTGAAAACCTCTTCCACAACTTTCATTTTACGTTTACCCCTAACCCTTCGTAGTACAACTCCAACATCAAGAATAGTTTGTAATGAAGTAGGAATACCCCTTTCATCAAATTTGGGAATGAACTTATAGAGCTTGATGATTTCATTATTTGAAGGCACCTTAGCAAGAATAACCTCCATAACTGAACCAATATGAGAGAAATTTGTGTCATCAGTAGTTAAAAAAGTCCCCACATTCATCTTTGGATTTACATCCATACAAACATCCATTGCATGTGGAAATCGATAATGATCTCGAGCATTTTTGACTAAAATTGAGGAAAATATAGTGCATGAAATCTCTGAATCTTTTGTAGTAGAAGTTGGACTTTGAATGAATTGAGTCCGAAGAACTTGACCTAGTTTAATCTTCTCACCAATATAGATTGCATACATCAACGTGTGAAATAGCTTGCTCGCATAATCTGATCCAATCGTTCTTTTAGAAAAACACTTGAGGAATATGGTAAACATCATATTCCACACAGTAGGAAGGCAAGAGTTCCTAAACTTCGATAATATTGTCAAATTTGGACTATATCCCATCTGATGAAAAACTATGAGCATATTAGCAGATGGAACCAATTCAAGATTCAAATACGCATTCCCAATAGATAATCCTATCAATTTTCAAAATTCGCATTTGAACTTGCCGTCTTGTGACTTTCGATTTCAAAACTCATCACATCCAGTGACTTATTGTAACTAGCCGTCGAGTATGCCAAAATTGAGGCAGATAAAGGAACGTCTTCATGATGAACAAGAGCCTTCTTCAAATTTGAACGATTGAGACATTTAATTAACGGTTGAACATCAGTTCAATACTGTGAAGCATCCAAATCAATGATTATATTCTGATTTTTGCTTCATAGTAAGAGTAATGGATGATGTAGTCTGATCCATGAAAAAACATGATCAGTAGTAGATGTCATTGATGATTGCTTGAACAAGAACACGAAGAACAATTGAATTTGCAGAGAACAACTTTTAAAAACTCCAGAATTGTCTGGTTGCATAAAGAGATTAATGGATATGGATTTGGGTATTAATTTGAATATTGGTATACAAACGGTTTTAAATTAAGTTTGAAATGCCTAGAATAAGTGGAGTGAGAAACCGCTAAAGATATGCATTAAATTCCCATCCAATCTGTCATCAGAATAGCTATCTTGCAACCCATGCCCATCATCACTTTAAGAAAGGTATAATAATAGTCTTCCAACACATCATTCTTGTAATGTAATCAAAACAACTTTCTTCCATCATCTTCGCAATAAAATCTTGTTGGGTTTTAGTTTAAAATTATTTTCAAAAAACTCACAAAAAGGCAAACGTTAGTCTTAAAATTTCGAACTTAATAAGCATGTTACAACCCACCAAGGATCATCTTGCAAGTAATGGAAAGATAAAAACAAAAACATAGAAGAAAGATGATGATAACAACCTTTGTTGTCCCTTGAGTCCTCTTGGGAGGGTTGAATTTTGATGAAGATAGTTTAGACTCTTTTGGATGAGGGTAATATAGATTATACGATCCAAAAGTTCGGGTGTGCTTTAGAGCGCAAGGGTATAATGGTAAAAAGAAGATGGCTTGGGTCTTTCATGAATTAAAGATTTTAGTTAGAGATGTTTTTAGTCATAAGTAATTAGAAAGGGTTGTAGAGCTCCTAATACCTTTACGTGGATTTAAGGATCGTCAAAAACGGAGTTGGAACGAAGAAGTTATGACCGTTTGAAGTTACAAAGATTTTGGGGTAAGCCGAATACGATGGGCGTACTAGGCTGGGATAATTACAAAGTGACATTGAGTAAGCTGGGCATAACCGGAGTACGCTGGGCATATTCCAGTCAGATGCAAAACCTAATTTAGGGTATTCGACCCTATTCAAAGACCTTAACTAATTTCCAACCCTCCTTATCTTCAGCCTCCATCTCCTCTAACCCTAAATTCGAAACCCTAGCCCCCATTTGAAAGGATTTTGAGCTTTAGAGTGATTTTGGTGGATTTTTGGTGCATTTGGAAGACGAAGAACACCTTGGAGAAGTGTTGGTTGTCTTGGAGCTTGTAGATCCAGGCCTTGTTCATATTGATCTAGCTTCTGGAGGCACAAAGTTTGACTCATGATGATACATTTGATAGATCTAGCTAGTCTTGGGTATTATGAGCCTTTGGTCACTTTAGTGCATAAAGTTTAGATCTTGAAAGTTTGTGACCTTGTTATGGATAAAGTTGGAAACTTTATCCATCTAAACATCATATTGATTCAGATATAAAGGTTTGAGACTTGGACTTAAAGGATTAAGTTGAAAATGATGCACTTTTGGTCCCTTTGAGACTTAAAGACTAGATCTTGGTTGTTTGGATAGTTCTAATGGATAAAGTTGGAAAATTTATCCATTATGGAGTTATTAGGAACCATAAAAATGTAATCTTGGATCTTAGTTTCCTTCTATGCATGAGTTAGGATGTCTTCAAGAGTTAAGATGGTAGGATTTTTTGGTATTGAGCACTTAATAGCCATGCAAGACCATAAAGTTGGAAACTTTATGGTTAAGGACATCAGTTGAGGACTAGATCTGGATTTTGGATGAAAGAACTTAAGGGATTAAGCTCTTAATAGATGGAAATGATGGCTGAATGTATGGTGGGTGTACGCTATGGTACGTAGGACATGCAAGGTCAACACCCAGTTTCTGGTCAAGGCTTGAGTACGCTAAGCGTACAAGCTGAGTTGACTCTGTTGACTTTTTGACTTTTTGACATTGACCTGTTTTTAACCATGTTGAATTAAGGGTATTTTGGGTATTTTGATTATAAATTAAGTTTGGTCATGTTCCAATGAATAGGTGACCGGTAGAGTTGATATTCAGAGCAATATCATGTTCAACGATCTTTTAGACTGAGAGGTTAGTCTCCTCACTATATACGTGGATCAAAGGCACCAATGTCGACCCACTAGGATATGTTATATGCTAGTTATCTTTGTTACCCTTGCATGGTATATTGCGCTAGGCACATTGTAGGATGGGCTAGGCCCATTGTATGATGGGCTAAGTCTATTTGTATGCTTGGCTGGGCCCATTGATTAGGAAGGGCTAGGCCCAAATATATGTTAGGTAGGATACTAGCTGACTTTGTGACTCTTTCATGTAATGTATGTATTTGTATGTATACTGGATGGGGGATCGATGCCTGGCGGGGCCTGAAAAATGTACCAAGCGGGGACCGAGTTATGTATGATATGTATGGTATGTGGTATTTTGGGGGAACTCACTAAGCTTTGTGCTTACCGTTTATGTTTATGGTTTCAGGTACTCCCGGTTCGAAAGGGAAGGGCCCGAATTGATCACATCGCATCCACCTATATTTTCGCACTTTATGATTTTTGGATTATACTTTGATAACTATTTTCACTCTGACATAATTTTGAATGGTTGATAAAAATAAATGGTGTTTATGTGTTGAATTAAAAATGAAAATTTTACCTCATGATTTTGGGTTGTTACAAGTTGGTATCAGAGTCGTGGCTTGAGGGATTCGGGCACACCCTCAGGTGTGTCTGAACTCAAACTGAGGAATTAGTAATCTTTTTGAAAGAAAATAATTTTTCTAAAAATATTTTTATAAAGAATAGGGGGTGTGATGCGTGCAATCAGTCGAGCTGAAGTAAGTGACTCCCAGAATACCCATACATGTTTGTTATGTTATATGTTATGAGAATTGCCTGCTAGATTAGGGCTAAGGATCTGCTCAGGTATTCATGTTAGGAGAGATGCCTTTGTGTGCCTGTTTTTTGAGCTTCTAGAGTTGCATGCTAGTATGGATTTCAGATGATTGGATAGAATGGTATGATTAGGTAGTACACTAGTTAGACTTTTTGACGGCCGAATGTTTCTTGCTTTGTGCTTTGTGGGACTCATGTTAACGTGAGATAATTTTTTCATGAATATGTTAAGTTGCATGTTGTAAAGGTTAAATAATATTAGAGTGATGGATTTGACCCTATTTTACGCAGATCTTGTCTGAGTCCAACCAACGTAGGCTTGCGTCTTTAAGTGGAAGGATTGTCTAAGCTTTATGGCATTCAAGGATATTCGTGAAGTAGCTACCTCACATTAGTAGGGGACCTTCAGCAACTGATGACAGGATCGGGTGAGGAACCGAAGAGAACCTAGGAAGTGTTTTAGTGGGTTTGGACGCGATGTTTAGTGGGTATTTGAGCACCAATTGGAGAAGGCGACTTAAAGAATTCAGAATGATTCTTGAGAAAAGTATGGATAGGTGTTGAATGTAGTATTGGGCCGATACTACTAAAAGCACCGACTCCGTACTCGATCAGAGAACGTCACTAGGATTCTAAGAAGCCGTAGAGGGTTGATGTGCAAAATTTCTGATTAGTGGGTAAAGTGTGATGGATTAATGATAACATTTTTTTACGGACAACGTAAGATTTCGTGACTGGATTTCCACTGAGGTTTCATAGATTTTATTAGAAGAGTTGCGTGGAATCATTGGTCGGGTCACTGACAGGTTGATTGTCAAATTCGAGGAGCGAACCACAATCCTGCGTGCTGCAAGACAAGTTGCTGAGGCTGCTAGAGAAGGAAATCTTGATATGGAGGCACGACAAGGAAATAGAAGGCGGACATACGATTCAGAGTGATTAGAGGGAGGTTGAGAGTTCGATACAGATGACATGGGTACTGGAAGTCAGGGGAACTATGAGATATGTGGCAAGTGTGGAGGAACTCACGACTTTGCTTGTTGTTCAGGTGTTTCAAGTGTGGAGAAAGAGGGTATGTGCACCGAGATTGTAAGAATGATCAGTGATGTGTATTTAATGTGTTTATATTTTTTATTCAAGTTTTAAATTTATAAAAGCTATTTCCTTCACTAGACTATTAAACACACTAGGCAGTGTACCTAATCGTGCAATAGTGTAGCTATGGTAAGAACGAGTGTCGAACTCAAGGAACGGTGTTTTAACTAACTTTATTACTATTAACTAAATACTAATTCAATTAGAAAAGGTTTTTCTTTCCTAGTTTTGCAAGACTAGATGCTTCAATTATCAAACTAACTAATTATGACTTAGTTAAGCTAACACTAACTAAAGCAAATTAACAAGTATGAATTAACCAAGGTAAGTAAGAGACTTTCGTTTAGCTTTGGATTTATATGTTATTATGGTTGATTTATGGAAGTGCAATGGATTTAGTTTCTTTAGTTACCGATTCCTAAGATGACAAAATTAGTATTCACTAACTTAATCCTTTATCAAACTAGTTTATTTATTCGGTGATCAAGCGGACAAACTTACAAGCTTACTAGTGTTTGGTTCGAATTGATTAGACTTATAATTGATTGAACAATTAGGTTATTGATTCAATTCAATATATGATTTGTCGTCATATATTAGCTCCTATACCTTTTTACCCACTTTTCTACTTAACCCTAGGTTTTGTTCAAAACTCTA